AGCCTGCCACCACAGCCGAACACTACAGCCTAACACCACAGCCTGCCACCACAGCCTCCAGCACCACAGCCTAGCACCACAGCCTGCCACCACAGCCGAACACTACAGCCAACACCACAGCCTGCCACCACAACCTAACACTGCAGCCCAACACCACAGCCTAACACCACAGCCTGCCACCACAGCCTGCCACCACAACCCAACACTACAGCCTACCACCACAGCCCCACCACAACCCAACACTGCAGCCTAACACCACAGCCTAACACCACAGCCTAACACCACAGCCTCCACCACAGCCTAACACTGCAGCCTAACACCACTGCCTGCCACCACAGCCCAACACTACAGCCTAACACCACAGCCTAACACCACAGCCTGCCACCACAACCTAACACTGCAGCCTAACACTACAGCCTACCACCACAGCCTAACACCACAGCCTACCACCACAGCCTAACACTGCAGCCTAACACCACTGCCTGCCACCACAGCCTGCCACCACAGCCTGCCACCACAGCCTGCCACACCACCCCTAACACCACCGCCTACCACCCCCACCACCTCTAACACCACCCCCTAACACCACCCCTAACACCACCCCTACACTGACTATTTATTTTACAACTGGCTGACACTGCACTCGACCACCTCACTCTCAGCTGTAAAGTCAGGTGCTTGTTTACATCTGGGTGAAGTAAAACTGCCTTAAACACGAACTAGTGACCGCAAGGAGAGGAGGTGACTACTGTATTCACTCAGCCACCAAAGTACCTTATGGGTTAAAGTATGATGTCTTAGCTCCTTGAGTATGGTGTCTTAATCCCTTGAGTATGGTGTCTTAATCCCTTGAGTATGGTGTCTTAACCCTTGAGTATAGGTCTAATTGGTGTCTGCCTTGAGTATGGTGTGTTAATCCCTTGAGTATGGTGTCTTAGCCCCTTGGTATGGTGTCTTGGCCCCTTGAGTATGGTGTCTTAGCCCTTGGTATGGTGTCTTAGCCCTTGAGTATGGTGTCTTAGCCCCTTGATTATGGTGTCTTAGCCCTTGAGTATGGTGTCTTAGCCCCTTGAGTATGGTGTCTTAATCCCTTGATGTGGTGTCTTAGCCCCTTAGTATGGTGTCTTAGCCCTTGAGTATGGTGTCTTAGCCCCTTGAGTATGGTGTCTTAGCCCTTAGTATGGTGTCTTAGCCCCTTAGTATGGTGTCTTAATCCCTTGGTATGGTGTCTTAGCCCTTGAGTATGGTGTCTTAGCCCTTGAGTATGGTGTCTTAGCCCCTTGAGTATGGTGTCTTAGCCTTGAGTATGGTGTCTTAGCCCCTTGAGTATGGTGTCTTAGCCCTTGAGTATGGTGTCTTAGCCCTTGAGTATGGTGTCTTAGCCCTTGGTATGGTGTCTTAGCCCCTTAGTATGGTGTCTTAGCCCCTTAGTATGGTGTCTTAATCCCTGGTATGGTGTCTTGTTGAGTTGGTGTCTTAATCCTTGGTATGGTGTCTTAGCCCTTGAGTATGGTGTCTTAGCCTTGAGTATGGTGTCTTAGCCCCTTGGTGGTGTCTTAGCCCTTGGTATGGTGTCTTAGCCCCTTGAGTATGGTGTCTTAGCCCTTGAGTGTGGTGTCTTAGCCTTGGTAGTGTCTTAGCCCCTGAGTATGGTGTCTTAATCCCTTGAGTATGGTGTCTTAATCCCTTGTTGGTGTCTTGGCCCTTGGTATGGTGTCTTAGCCTTGAGTATGGTGTCTTAGCCCTTAGTGCAGTGTCTTAGCCCTTGGTACTATGTAACCCCACATACTTGACTTCATTGTTTTAGCGCCTGTGTTTATACTAGAGGCATCATTCAAGAGATAGGGAAACTAGTTTTGACCATTTTGAGCCTAAGGGGGGCGGGACGGGGCAGGGGCGGGGCGGGGTGGCCACTCGTCTTCTAATTACCATTCTGAGGCCATGATTTAATTGTTGATCGTAAAGTTACACTGATGAGTTATTTAATTGGTTGGTTTTATTCCAATAGTA